CTTTAGAATATTATAAAAAATCATCTGACATCTATGAAAAACAATTTCCTTCCGGACATCCCGATCTAGCTGTTATAAAGAATAATATTGGATTGGTGTATAGGAAGAAAAAGGACGATGAGCAGGCTTTGCAATACTTCAGAGAAGCGGTGAACATCGGCTGTAAAATTTTGCCTCCTGAGCATCCGGATCTGTCAACCTATAAAGCGAATTTCAACAGCACTAAAGACAAACTGGATCATGATGAATAAAAAATCAACTGTTTAGTTTTCCTTGAACTTTATTCTCGAATGTCGTGTAGCATTGTGAGTCATAATAAAACAAGGAATTCGTACGTCATATATGACACGTTGTATACTTCAAAACATAAAACTAAAGTCATCCTTCGACGCATGTTTGTTTGACGAGTAAGAAGAAAAACATCGATATGCAATATCATGTTTCGTTGTCATTAATAATGGCATAAATTTAGACAAAGAATGATGAAGAATTGCACTTGCACCATAAAGATGTAATCAGATAGTTTATGATAATTCGTCAAGTATTTGAGACAAACATAAACCTCATCTAACTACTTAGCTCGAAGCAAAATATGAAACTTCATTATAGAATTACTTGACTTTCGGTAGATGTAAGTAGAGAAGCATTATGATCAGTACGATTTTATGTTACATGCTCCTGCTTGTGCTCACTGGTATTAATCAATTAGAAGCACATTCGGACAGCGATATGTATGATGGGTTATATGGAAATCGATTTGCAATTAACGATCATATGTCTGTTTATGCTGATAATACTATTCAACAGTTCACAATTGTGCGACGACCGTTCTTGTCTAATTCATTTACGAATATGATCAGTTACCGTAATGTTTATCGAGATAGTATACTTAATTCGTCGACCATTTACATTCATAACATTGCTACAGGTGCAAAACTAAATAACAACAATTCAGTTGTTGCGTTCATAGCGGAAGCTATGGATCACAAGTCATATTTAATTGTAATGCGGATACCAATTACGTCTTCCGATCCAAACGAAATTAACTTTGTGGAGTTGTCAACAAACAATATTGTGAAACAAAACGTTCTTGGTATTGATTCAGACAGTGCGCATATATATGTTGTTCAACTAGCTTCGACTCTTTATTATGACGTTAATTCGAAAACAAATCGAACATATAGTAATGTCGGATTCTGGGACCCTCATCAGTTCATGATTGGTGAAGCATTGACCGTTACAAATGATCAACGTCTTTTTCTACTTGCATACAGACAGGGAAAATATGAACTTCGGCCACAGTCAAGCAGATTTTATCTTTGCTTATATACTGTTGATCTTTCCAACGTATCTGAGCCAATATCAATGGATCCATTTGAATGGACAATGACTTTTCCAGTGGCATATCTCTCCGAGAATAGGGAATATGCAGCACTGTCACTGGATCTGAACGAAGAATCTGATATGTTGATTGCAGGAATAGCACCCATGAATAGTGTAGTGATTTTCTCCATTAAGGACAGATGGAAACCTCCAAGTGTTTTCAACAATCATACTTTATTACAAAAAAACGTATTATTTGGTAGATCAGTTGCACTTCTAAATAACGATACATATGCTGTGCTCGCGTACGCGACATCAAACTTACCATGGTCCAGTTCTCAGATACAGGTAAATACGTTTTATTGTTGATATAAGCTACATATTGAAGTTCTATAGTTTTATTCTCTTGATAATAATTCAAATCCAAACCCAATATTTGTCTTCCCAAATAATCAACAGCCACTTCCAATATCAACTAGATTACAGTCATTCTATCGTATAATTAAGTTTCTATCCTGGGACTCAAATAACATAGGGGTCTTACTTGATCCTTTTAAAATCCTTTTACTTCCTGCAAGTCCACCGGGCTACTGTAGTAGTTTGAACAGTACACACGAAAACTACATGACTTTTTCAGTATACGAACCACAACCATGCATTCCGGGAACATATAAGCACACTTCGGGCCTTGGTCCGTGTTTTATTTGTCCTACCCATTCGAAAAACAATGGTAGTTCGGCGATCAACTGCGAACGATGCTTTGCCACGAATACGTCACTATGTCTTCCAGGCGCTATAAACGAGATTGATACAGTGGAGTTAACAAATCATGATCAAGGAGATCCCTATCCAATTTCACCTGAATCAACACAATTTGATGATTTACTACTTCAAAACATTCTCCGATTACCGACGACGACAAGGGAATGTCTACTTCTTTCGCCTGTCTTTTGGGCTTGTATCATCATCATTATTTGTCTCGTATTCTTTCTTATCAGCAAACTTATTGTACCCTGTTTCAAGCATGTGAATGGGCAAACTATTCTCAAAAACATTTTCGTACGCGTTGATTTAATTGGTGAAGGACAATATTGGATAGGCGGACTAGTTTCAACTTCTCTTTTCGTTCTCGTTATATTTTCATGTAAATTTAGTATTTCATTCATGAACCTCTATCCATACGAACAATCGTCAATACTTGGACGAATTAGTACTACCTGCGATAGTTCATTGGTCAATGCGAAATTCAGTAGCTCATTACAACTAATATCGTTACACAAACATCAAGAAGAAAAACCAATTTTTGATTTGCTCGAACAACAAAGCATCAGTCTATATGTACAATTTGTTAGTACGGCTTTTACATGTGATGACCTGGAAATTCAACAGATGAGAGATCATGAACTAAGTACGCCATTAGGAAATTCGAATTGTTCTGCAAATAATAGTATACTTCAAGTTTCTACGACCTTTTTACCGCAACACATCGTCACAACGGAATTCGAATTAAACGGACCATATTTTGTTGGAGGACTTCGCGTTTGTCTGTCTGCTCCATCGATATCTACTGACAACGAAAAATATACTGCGAAACAGATGGATTTTTGTCAGTTCTTATTCGTACATAATCAAACTATTGCTACTAAACAAAAAATATACATAAAATTGACTAAAATTATCAATCGAACGGCCAGTATAACATCAGAAGATGATGATGTCATCTATAGTGGCCTCTGGTTACCGACTCTCATGTCCGGTACTCTAACAGATGAATTACTTTTTGCGCAAAAGGGAGAACACTATCGTTATCTACCGACGAAAACAAGCTTGGCTGTTGATATGAGTGAATCGGAATTTTTCGTGAAAAACATGCAAGAACCAATCGCTCGAACTCATGAAATCATATTCAATACGATTCTTTTTTCGAGTAAGATCATAACGACTTGCCATTCACCGTTGGTTTTGTTTTTCTATATCAAATTTCATTCTCTTTTAGTGTTATGTTTGGATCTACTTGGACTTCTATTCATCGTGTTCAAAATGGCTATTCGTCCTTTGATTAGTTTGGTCCAAAAACATTTCCGTTCAAAAAGAGCGAACTTAGCATCATCAGCTATACAAAGAGTCGATACTCAACTTCACGCCTATCAATACTAAAGCTAAACTGTGTATTTTTTTTGTTATTCTCTAATATAATAAATGTTTATACAATCTTATTTGAAAAATTGTAAATGAAAGAGCGAAAGAAGAACTTTATGTGGACTAAAATGGATCTAACGAGAACGTTGTCTGACTTTATTTAACTGTATGTCAATGTACTATGTAAAGGGTCTTATCTGACAATAAGGCAAACTCAAGATGAGTATGTATACCAAACGAAAAATGTGTTTCTTTGTGCACCAATGCATACCCATTCATCAATACTATATAAATAGTATACATTTGTAATGACGACACCTCTTCTACTCACCATACGCATCTCGTGTTGCTTGCCGGTCTAGTTGTCTTACGGATCGTTTATTTTAAAAACAAATATTTAACTCTCCATGGCCATCTACCTGGTTTAGCACCGCATTTTCTCTTTGCAAATGTGATTTAATCGGATTTGTTAACACAAGGCAAATCTCTAGCGCAGATTTTTCTGGCATTTAAACACCACTACGGTTATATCTTTCAATGTTGGTTCGGTCCAGCCCGTTACATTATTGTCAGCAGTGCCATCGAAATATATACGAACAAGCCGATGTATACCTGTTTACATTCCTGTTGGCAAAAAGTAGAAAAATAAATGGTTTTTTTATCGACTCCTAGGACCCAGATATAAACGGCATGCAGCAATGTCAATGCCTTTGTTTCGTCGTGCTAAGCTTATTAATAATTTTGATTTAATCGTAGACTGTACCGACAAATTAATACTCAAGTGGTGCACCAATCCCAGCCAACAATGTCAGAATCTTCTACTTCAAACAATCCTTGAGAGAATGAGCTTGCTATGGCATTGTACGACTTTATGAGTGCGTGCAAATTGATAATCTACTCGTCATGGAAGAGCAAAGGCAATTATTACTGAATATGTGTATTGAATGATCGATCGTGAGACGACTGAAACAGTGGAGTCGAGAGCACAACGGTAACGAAGAATCGGAAGCAAAAAAAGGCGACGATGAAAAACGAGGTGAGAATTCCTTTTCGATTTAGTAATTCAACAGATCTAATTGATGTTTTTTCGCAGGTTCTTCGAAAAATGAAGTTCTGCACGAGATGCTAGCTTTTATGATAGCTGGTTACGAAACGACATTGACAGCGCTCGCTTGGTTTATTCGTAATCTAAGTAAATATCTATATGTACAAGAAAATATCAAAGAAGAATTGCAAAGTACTGCTGAGGACGGCGGCATTCTAGATTTAACATTTGAACATCTCGATTCTTTAATTTATTTGGATTGCGTTGCGTCATCAATGAAGTACTTCGCTATTCATCACTAGCCGATGGAACTGTTCGTACGATGATTGTTACTGGTCCCGTGATCCGACACTATTTCATCCAGAAAGATTCTTACATGAAGATAAAACTCATCATCCATCTGGATTACTTCCATTGGGTGGTGGTCGTTTGACTCATCTTACAATTATATTTAAGCGCGTCGGTGTTCGTATTAAATTTGCTTGAAATGTGACTATTTAACGGTCTTTTTTTGAACATTGACTTGTCTGATAGTTTGTTGCATAGTTAATGTTCCTGTTCTACCTGTAGTTGAGGCATTGAACGGTTGTACAATTGTTGATCGGCAACAGAATCGTTTCACAATTTGCCGAATTTCTCGATCTAAGAAAATCGTACATATTTTTTCGACAATCAGCATAAACGACGGAGAAACCATACTAATATAGTAGATAAGATCAACCGATGTTACCATGTAGAAAATCGTTGGTAGACCGCCAGCTAGATAAAGTGCGAGAAGTATAAGAATATAACGAAGAAGTTCAAGGTCGCGTTTTTGACTATTTTCCGAATTGGCAATACTTTGGTTGTTCTTCGTCGTTCGACGAACACGAACATAAATACAAATATAGATCAAAATGATTACAATGACTGGTAATAAGTAATAGGCAAAGGCTGTATAACCAGTGTGTATTCGATTTCGTAAGGGTACCCAGCATATAGACCCAAATGTAAATGTAACATCATTTGTAATAATTGCTGGTGATGTAAGTAAGAAAACAGTAATCCAATTGATAGCAATAAGAATGAAATGCGTTTTGAATGTTGTTAACCATCGGTATTTCATCGATAAAACAGAAAAGAAGAATCGCGAGACAGCTTGGGTCAGATATGAATAAATCACGCCAGCAATACCACTATATCCGAAATAAGCTTGCAGCCGACAAGAAGTCATAGTCATTCCCCATTGTCCGAATATTAAATATGCGAAATTATTGATGACTGTGGCGCCATATAACATCGATGCTATGCATGTATTACACACCAATAAATGATTGACTGTGTGCAAACGTGATTTGTTGCTCCAGACTAATGCTATTACGAAGATACTAATACTTGTGGTAATAGTTACGAATATTGCTGCTAATAATCCAATGAGACCATATTCGTCAATGAGATTGGTTTTGGATTGAGCGATTGATGTGTTCATTTTTTAGAAGAAGATGTTCTGAGAACAAGTGGATGGATGTATTAAATGTAAAAACTTTGAGCTTTGTATATCATTAATGGGATAATGAATGCAACAGTGTTTGACAATTTGTTGTCTGTTCAATTATTCCGTGTACATTATTGTTCATTGCGCTACTCATGTATTTATCTCATGTGAAATGAACATAACAGGTCTTTTTCTGTTTTGAATTAACATTCAAAATAATTCATGTGTGTATTCATGCAATCCTGTCGGAAAACTAAGAATGTCAGGCTTCTCAAAGAGAGAACGGATGTAAATGACCTGTTTTATCAAAAATCAATCACTAAAAATATCCGTTAATTGATGAGACACTAATCCTCAAGCAATGGGAAAATACTTTGAAAAACACCCTGTAATCTTTAAGCTGTCTGTATATATTTTCTTATAGTGTATGATATTGTTTCAAGACGGAAAAATGAAAATGACATACATACAGATATCTGGCTAACGGGATTTTATTTAGCTACTCTTTATTTATTGACTGAAAGGGTGTCAAGATCTAACTGTTACTCGTTAAGCTTTTCGTGGCTTTGAAGTCTATAGTCAAGATTGTTTAGATTTCGTCATTGAATCAATGAATATGTATACATCATTTGGTTTTGGTATTGACTCGTTACGATTGCGACGTGTCACAGTTTAGTGAACAGTATGTGCCAGTTAGCAGCTGATGATGGTTTGAGTGTTCACAGCACATATTTTCTTGTTTCAAAAGTGATCGATCTAACTACAATCATTCTTCAAACAAAAGTCGGTGACGTTGGGCAACTTGTTGTTGGAACAGGAATACATTTACTATCAATGGTATCGCCATTTTGGGTACTTCATCCGTTGATTCGTCAAATGAGCGAATACTTACATTAAACCATCTTTATTCTGGTATGATAAGGTCCAGTTGCATAAAATACACCTCTCATTTCAATCTGCAATAGTCGTAGTTTAACAGCAATGAATAATACAAGAAAAGACAATTAGTTAGTACTATACATTCGATAGAACATATTCGCGTTCCGAAGCTTCGAGCAGTTTGATCGATTTACCTGCAGCAGCTTTCAATTTATCCTTTCCTCCACTTATTTAATTTCAATAACTTTGAATGACACACGAGGTTTATTATTTTTCTGAGATAGTATTTCTCTTTCACTGAATAAATAAATAACTAATGTCACTATTCCTGCTCCAGTACAGCCATCATTTTTGGCGCAACATCCATAAGAGCTGCATTCCAACATGGCCATTCATGTTTTCCGTGACAGCCGTGTCCAATTGACTTCCCATTGCCGTAAAAATCATAGTAGTGCGGTATATTTAACGAATTTAACGTTCTGTTCATATGATTATTACAATCGTGCATGGCAAGCTCGATAATGCCTTGATTACCGGAATAGAGTGCGATGTTGACATCACGCAACAATTCAGCATGAGTAATAGGATTCTCAATGACCCATCCACTAGAGGGTGTTGTAAGAAATGGAACACCGAATGGACCATTTACTGCTTTTTTATCTGCAGCTTCCGAACCAAAAATAACTGCTTGAACACCCCAATTGAGCAAATCAATCGCCCCCGAAAAACTTGCCGTGTAATTGTACAGTTGGTGATAGACTTCAGCATAACGAACAGCACCAAATCCACCCATAGAAAGACCAGCAATAGCACGGCCTCCTTTTCGTGCAACTGTTCGTAAATTTGCATCGATCCAAGGTACTACCTGTTCATTATGAAATGTCCGCCAATTTTGTGGAGCCGCTTTCCCTGGATTAACCCAATTCGTGTACCATCCAAATGGATCACCATTTGGCATGATGGTAATCAATGATAAGTTACCGAGAATTTGTTGTGCTATGCCACCCTTTTGAGTCCAATCTTCAGCACCACCCATACCTCCATGGAGTAAATAGAGAACAGGATAACGGCGTGTTTTACCACTAGTTGTATAATTTTGAGGAAGAAGTATTCGAATCTGTTGATCGCCTTTAACTTCATGCGATTGTACAGTTACATCACAAAGTTGTTCATTTACTTTTGAAAAGTTCGTTACTGTTAAACCGAAACCGGACACGAAGTCAGGGAAATCACTGTAAACAGGTTGCAACAAGCAATAGACAACAAAAACAAATTGGCAGTACTTCATCGTTAAGTCCTTTTATATACTATTTTTTCCATGAGGGTGAAGTTGGTATTTATAACCAAAGATAATGTGAAATATGTAAAGTTTCTCATCAGTGTTCTTTGTAGGGAAAATACGCATATGTTTTTCGATTATTTGAAATGAGTTGGAAATCGGCACACATGCTTCAGAAGAATGAAAAAATTGACTTTATTATTGCTCCACAAATTCGTAGCGCCGGCTTCCCACTCTGTGCTATCATATGAGTCATACTGACTTACAAATAGCACGATGATGAAAACTAAACAATGTGTGTCATAGAATATGTATTTGAAATAAACGAAATGTTCATTGAGAAAGTGTCAATAATCAAATCAGTCGTGATCTCAAAACATCAAAATGAAATAAATTTGGAAGTATATTACCAGATGAATTATTCCTAGATTTGTTCGAGTATTTCAGCCCGATCGATCTATTTCGTGCAATCGAACATGTCAATCAACGCTTTACTAATCTTCTCCTCACATATTATCGAACATTCATTCATTTTAACAGTCAAATGATGTCGCCGGTTGAGTTCATCAGATTTTATTACGCTCATTTTCAATTCGCTACCAATTGTTTGATATCATTACATATTTCTCAAGATGACTACACATCGAACATAATCGACCTGCTGGTTCACTGTCAAATATTCCCTGAAACATGCAATCATATTTGGAATTTAACCGAACTTACTCATTGTCATATCTCGAAATGTTTCCTTCTGATCACGACATACGCCTACAACGTATTGCGTTGATCCTACACCAGGCCTTCAGTATCATCATCTGTCTAGTCATCGTTCACTGGACGTTGGACAACTAATACCATTGGACTCCCGCGGGTTTGATGTGTCTTTACACCTTACCGCATACATTTTCATATCGAAAGCATGCATAACAAATTCACATGTACATATTCCGAATATTCCGTCTCTAATGATATCATATTACCAAATTCCTATTTTCACAAAATAGAAAATCTGAAATTAAAACTTTTAATTGACGTGCAAATCTTTTACATTGTTCGAACACTGGATCGAATAAATCAACTTACAATGTCAGTCATCAGCAAATACGACCCGTCGGAGTTACAGAAAATTCTTGATCGAGCACCTCATCTCTGTTAGATAACTTTCGATAAACGATTGTCGGATCGACAAGTGCCGTTAGTTAATAATACGCATTCATCCGTTCGTGAACTGAACTTACGAATCACTGAATACAATAATCGAGTTTAGTATTTCATTCCGCTTCCGAATATTCGGCATTGATTTCGCTCACACATAGGTCGTCAATGTGAAAAACTTTCAATCAACGTCGAAAAGCTGATAAACATAGTTCACTTGATTGATTCGCTGTCCAATCTTCGAAAACTATCTGTGGGTTTCCAAAATCATACTGACGAGAAGTTAGTACGGCCAACAATGAACGAATTCCTTATTTGGTTCCAAAGACGTTCGCTACTTAAATATACCGTTGAACACTCGAACAATATTTTAATTATTCGTAGAAGAACTTAACCATTTTATCAATCCCCTATCTGTCGTCACAGTGTTGAACAACGAGAAGAACCGGCAAATTTTACGGATCGCAACTCCTGATGCTTATCTGTTGGGATTTTTTAGAATATTTTTTATTGTTACATATCGTCTGACAATGAGTGATTCTTCTACTTTTCGTAAAAGTCATGTTTGTGAAGTGATAGCCACTAAATATCCTTGCTCACATAACTGTACAGCATTTTGAATAATGTGCACATCCAGCACCACAGCAGCCACAGGTATTCAATGGATAATCGTTTTCATAAACCAACGGTTCGTTTTCTTTTCCTACACCATAGTGATAAAAACGAAATTTATTACCTAAACATTAAGAAGAAAAGCAAATGAGAAGTCTTCTTCTATTTGATCGTGCTCACCCATATTTTCGTCTCTCTTGTTGGTGAACCCTTCAATTTCGTATTCAACTTCGGTTATATCCAGTTTTTGTATTTCACATTTTAGTGCAATCATACGCATGTTCTGTTTTATATTCTGCAGGTGCTTTTTGTTATAATCTTCTGTTAACTCATTGATTTTTACTGAACAATTAGGTAGTGTCGCCAATCTACTTTGAAAATATTGATCGAATTGAGCAGTTTGAGACCAGCCTTGCTCCAATGAAAGATAGATTTGTTTTCCTGGAGCTTGTTTAATTTTTTTCACTGGCAATGGAGTATTCGACTGATAAGATACTGAATGAAGAGTGTACCATTCGATCGTCAATCGATGCCAATGTAAGAGTACGCCGCGTCTATTACAACGAGTACAGCTCACTTTGCCATGACCTCTACAGTTTGAACATGTCACAGTACGGGTGCCATGACAGGATATACATTGATGTGCATGTTGCGCAGAGTTTTGAGTGGTACCACAATGAGTACAAGCTCTGCGACCTCTGCCATGACAGGACGCACAGTTATGCATACCATGACCGTTACATTTAGAACAAGCGGCTTTCCAACTTGTTTGCATCAAGTCATGCACCGACTTTTGTCTGTTTTCTAAGACTATTGCCGGTCGTCCAAAGTCATAGCTCCACGGATCACGAAGTTGTTCTTGAGGCGTGTTCTCACCATTATATGGTCGTCCTTGTTGTTCTATCGTGCGACGATCAATTAACGTCCATAGATCAATTTGATAGGCAGTAGCTTTGGTGTTTACATTAGTCACATTTGCATTCATTAATGCACTTGGATGATAGCACATTTTTGACTGAACATAAGTTTTCATTATGTCTAAAAACGGTGACGATGTATCTGGAGCTGGTGCCACTTTGCTAGCCATGGTTTTATTCTCTAAAACAATAGAAATGCGATAGTGAAGCAAAGCTCTTTAATTCGCTCGCTCTATATTTTTTCAGGCCACTTATATTATTATGAATATCGAAGTTTTTCAATATTCGTTTAGACCATGAAAACGATATGCCTTCTTTCTGTATTAATCAGACGAATTAAATAGCTTCTATGTTCTTACCTGTTATTGAAAAAGATTGCTACTTTGTTTAACTAACAAAAGGATTTTTTTCGAACGTCACTCGGCCTTCGACTGTCGCAACAAAAATTTATTTTGGTAGTGAATTTTTTGCATTGTTTTTTTTAGCACAGGCGGTGTTTGCGTCATTCATCGATTGAAATTGCTTCTTAAAACACCTTGCCATCGCCATCTGTATGTAACGACATTAACGTAAAGAGAAAAAAGAATCATATTCCTCTGTCGTTTCCAATGTAAATAGAGAGAAAATGTTTTGCCACGTACTTCTGCTTTCTCCCACGCAGAACATACCAACGAAATAATAATAAATACATTTGCGGGAGTACCCTTTTTTCTAGTCCGTCACACACGAAATACGTACATTCATCTTGAGCACACTTTCAGAAGCACAACATATAACAAGGTCACTCTGTATAGAATGATTCACGAAGATTCGATATTTCTCGCACATGAGATATAACACTTGGGCAATTTCCTTTCATTCATCATCGTGTCAAACTGACCTTATCGTTTAGTAACAAGTACGATTTTCACTCGTTTTGACTGTTTAGTCAGTAATCTGTTTGTCTTTGTTTCGTGTTGCATGCAAGTAAATAGACAACAATAAAGAAACAATTCATTGTATATAAATATATTTTTAAAAAAGCATGATTATGAGATAATATCTGTTGTTTGTCTTCGTTCACATTACTGTACAGCATTTCGAATAATGTGCACATCCTACACCAAAGCAACCGCATGCATTCAATGGATAATCGTTCTCATAAACGAGTGGTTCATTTTTTTTTCCAATTCCATAATGATAAAAATGAAACCTATTACCTAAAAGAACAAAACAAATGAAATGTAAGGAAGTGAAAACATCAATAAAATTCTTGTATTTTGACAAGACTCACCCATATTCACATCTCTCTTGTTCGTAAATCCTTCAATTTCATATTCAACTTCAGTCACACCTAGCCTTTGTATTTCACATTTCAGTCCAATCATTCGTCGATCCTTTTTCATTTTTTTCAAATGCTTCTTATTAAAATCCCGTGTTAGCTGATCAATTTTCACTAAAGAGTTGAGTGGCGTTGCCAATTTGCTCTGAAAATATTGATCAAACGAAGTAGTCTGCGACCAGATTACGTCAACGGTGAAAGAGTTTTCTTTTCCGGGAGCTTTTTTAATCTTTTTTGGTGGTAATGGGGTATTTGATTGATAGGATACGGAATGAATAGTGTACCATACAATTTTTAATTCATACCAATGTAAGAGAATGCCACGTTTGCTACAGCGACTACAGTCAATTCTACCACTACCCCCACAACTTGAACATTTCTTAAGACGACTGCCATGACAGGATGAACAAGTGGCTGTGTAATACGTAGTGCTATAATTCGTGGGACAATTAGTACAATGTTTGAGGCCTCGGCCATCACATGACCAACAATCATATCTGCCATGGCCATCACATTTGGGACAAATGGTTTTCCAACTTGTTTGCATCAGATCATATGTAAGTTTCAGCTTCTTCTTTAACACTGTTTTAGGATGGCCAAAATCATAACTCCATAGATTTTTAAGTGGTTCCCTAGGCGTGTTTTCAGCATTATACGGTCGTTCGCGTTGCTTTGCCGAACGACGATCGACTAGTGTCCATAGATCAATTTGATACGCAACAGCTTTGTTGTTTATATTAGTCACATTTGCATTCGTTAATGCACTTGGATGATAGCACATTTTTGACTGAACATAAGTTCTCATTATGTCTAAAAACGGTGACGATGTTTTCGAAGTTGTGAATGATGGTAATTTGGAATCTGGGACTGGTGCCACTTTATTAGCCATGACGATGTCTAAGACGATAGAATTACAAACTGTAATCATCGGTTGAGGCTGATTGGAAAAAAAACTAGAGTGAAGGAGGATGTGAGTGTGGCCATGATTTCGTTTCGGAGAATTTCGAAAATATACCGAAGGGTGATGAGAAAAAAACTGTTGTAGTCGACAAAATTGATTCTGAAAGCGAAGTTGGTTGTCAGATGTGCAATATCACGCAGTAGGATGCATTCTCTACTCTTAAAATTATCTTAAAAAAGCAACATTGGTATGATACACGTAGTCACCCACCCCTCAATACAGAAGACAAAAGAGTCCTAGAAGCCTTTCATCCTAAAACCATGAAACTTCCTCAAATCTTCGTTTAGACCGTCATCTTCTGCACGGTTTCTTCTATTCTGGATGAAAGTTGCGAGAATGTATGGAGAAAAATCTTTCATATAACGGCGAACACTTGTGGAGATTGTCACATGAACTACACATTTGCTAATACATGCGAAAAGACTGTTTACTTACATATCTGTTATCAAAATTGTTGCGAGTTTAGATTTGAAGAAGAATAATGTTGTACGTGAAGCAGACTGCTTAACTTACAGTGAGATTTTTACGAATATCAATCAACGTTCGTTTTTTAACTGAGCCTTTTAACGTGTCTCCTGATTTACCAATTTTTTCAAGCGCATGACGTAAGTAGAGACAACGGTAGAAAGGAAAAATCCAAATCTCTCTGCTGTCTGCAGTATTCATTGAAAAAAATTTCTGTACAGTCATTTGCTTAATTCTCTGAAAAAAAAAACTCAGAAAGGTTGATACATATTTATGCGAATCGAATGTTTGCGTAAGAACACCGCGATTTTCGCCGAAAAAAAGTCACCATCGTCATGGTCAACATGGAAATTTCTACTATGAAAAAAAAAAAGACCAATTTAATACCAACACCCGCAAAGTTGTAGAAAAAGATCAAGTTAAAAACTGTGAAATATAAGCAAACGGGATTGTCATTAGTAAGAACGAAACATAGTCTCTATGTGACTGATTAATCAGGTGAAAGAGGATCAAATCTTTGTTTCCGATTGGAACTGTCGTCTATTACGAAAACACGAAGCTCTACTCGATATAACTTTCAATAGTAAAATTCAAAACATCGCTCACATTCGTATGTCTATTCAGTCACTACTTGGCGTTAAGATAAAGAACTGATCTTTTCTTTCAAAATATTCATTTCGCTTGTTAAATTAGCCATATTATTCTTCAGTTCATCAATGTCTGCAGAAGTATCAGCACGATTTTCGTTGATCAGTAGATGCAACCAACTATTAGACGGACATAACTTCAGGATCAGAAGTTTAAGAATAGGCTTAAGCCATAGTTTTATCAAAAGAAAGATCATACATAGTAAATCCAAACACATGCAGACGAACAGGATTGTACTGAAAATAATTTCTGAATTTCGTGCAATAGGTTTTTGTCTATTTTTAATAAAAAACGACGTTTCAGCTAGTTTTAACTCGATTGCATCGCGAGAAGAAACAGAATCTGGATCATCGGCGACATATAGTCGAGTGGGTTCGGAAGAAAATGTCAGGAACCATAAACCGCTGTACATCGTTTGATCTGCATTCGTTAAACCTTCGGTAATATTGATTATCTTTGTCAAATGTAGATCAAGAGGAAATGCTCTAGTAGATCCTACTATTCGACTTGTGTCGTTGAATACTTTGGACACGTTTAATGTTTGAACATGATTGTTCATTTGACGAATCTCCGGTGCAGTTAAGCCGATACGAATAGCATCAATTGGTAAACGTCCTCTTAATTGAATGATGGTTGGTGTTTGATGTGAGAACAATTTAGTCGATGCATATGATATAAAACCGCGTGTATAGCAAGAAACTGGATATGCAGACTGAATCAATAATCGTCCGCAATGAAATGCTTTGCTGATTACTTCAATGTTCAATGTAAAGTCTTGCGAATCTAATAGGTGAAAGATTTCACCTAATTCACGGGGATTTTGTTTCAAAAACTGTAAATTTGTTTCAAATTTAGCATTCAAATGATGATTTGATAAGCAAGCATTGTCATCGAACTCATGTTCGTTTGTAATTGGATATTGATAATAAAAAGAATAACTAAATAGAACTGCTAGTCCAAGAAGCACCATTAAAACGATACTAACTAAGCCTCCAAACCAAAGACTACCTTGTTCGATCAGATCGAGATATTGCAAGGCTCGCGTGATATTCGTTTGCTGTACTACTGTTCGTTTTGAAAACTTCAAAGAACCGATAATTATGGCGATCGTTATTGCAATAATTAACGCAATCATTGTATAAAGAAACGGTGATGTTCGCAGACAATTTATGCGAAACATATTACGAAGGAGAATATCCGCAAAAACATCAATCTCCGGTGTTTCGGGATAGCCAGTATATTGCTCAGTATCGTATAATTCCGTGGGATATATAGCGTGTTCCAGTGGACAATATGATTCATCGTTACACTGTGAACATTTATGACTAACGTTTTGCTGTGAAGAATTCATTTGACATTGACGGCATGACCACGGTCCTGTGTCGTTTTTATATGTACCTGGTGGACAAAGAGCGATATTGGGTATTAAGGTATATATCGAATACGGATTTGCAGGATGTGCCATTGCTGCATGGTTGACAGAAAAGTATCCTGGTTTAGACGGTGGAATCACTAAAATATCTTCTTTTACGTTCATGACGTATAGTGCAGACGCTGTTGCTGCTAGAAGGGCCACAGGACTGCTAGAAAACCCAGAATTTTCCTGATCACTGTTTGGAAATATTGAAAATGGCATAGTGGAATTATTGATATAATGATTATTATTCATATCGTAATATTCAAAATATGATCCGCCACTTTTGATGGAATTGCCATAATACTCGACATTGACGATGATCGCTTTTTCATAATTGTCACACCATTCAACAATCCATCCATATCCTCCTACACGGACACCTTTCGTTGTTGTTTTAGAAGTAAGATAAACAAGATGATTCGACGTCTTATTAGTGAGCAATAAGTGAACTGTATTGATCGTTGGCATACCGAATAATACTTGTTCATTCTTCAAATTAACTCGTAACGATAACTTCATGGCTGAATTTATGAAATAGACATTTGATTCCCATCGGTCATAAAACTGAATTGTATGACGATTTGTAATGGATAACACATAAATGTTTGCGACACCAGAACGCATTGCGCCGTCGTCGTCTTCAGGAAAAAGCTTCATTCCAGTATTGCCTGCAATGTATATAAAATCATGACTTATGTCAACTGCTAATGGTAAGAACGTCTTGCTATCGGGCCATGTTACATTCAGTGTGAAATGTTCCAGAGTAACTAGATTATAGTAGAACACAGACGTGTCCGTGACACCAATAGCAAAATGACCTTGAGGATCAACACTAACAATTGCACGTGACATGTTCTGCGTTTTGAAGAAGACCGTCTGTGGGAGCGACACTTTTGTATTTCGATTTTTATGACATTGCGCAGTAATCTTTGACATGTAAAACATCGATTCATTGACAGCTCCGGAAATAACGAAATAAAGTTGAGTTTGATTTTGTTCTCGGCCAATAGAAAAAGATTGAATTGATTTGAAAGGAAAATCGACTTCAAAAGTTTCGTTTCCGAATGCATGACACTGATATCGAACGGAATCGTTCGTGATGCCTGTGTACAGTGTATGAAAAACCAATAGAAAATCATTTGCTGCTAGCTTAGTATCGTAAAAGTTGATTGCAGTTGCTTTTTCACTCGACGAAAATATACAAACTGCAAGAGCGAATAAAATAGAAAGACGCATAGACGACGATTTAAAAAATGTTTTTATAATGTTCTACTTACAGAAGATTTATAATCTTTACGAATGATTCAATAAGAAAAATATTTGGATAATATCCACCAGCTATCATATTACGTAGACCTCATTTTCTTATTTGAGTTCAGATTTGCATAAAGCTCCTCTTGAGAACTGCTCATTCGCAATTCGGTATTGATAATCCAAACAGTAATATGTGAATAAGTGAATAAATATTTTGACACGCATAGATAATTCATCTAGAAGCTTCAATGATTGTTGAAATACAATATCGATATACCAGGACGATGACGCCATTTTGATTCTGTTACACAAATTATGTTCAATTGATCTCCGAGATCAGAAACGAATGAAAAAAGAAATGTTGCGCTCATTTATATACTATAGAAACAAAGAGTGCAATATGGTGTTGATTTTTTTGTTCTTACAAAAAGCGAAATACTATGCAAACAATCTTTAATCGTGGCGAATGAAATCGATTTTTCTTGCCACGTTTTTGTATGTTTTACAACAGCTACACTGAAAAAAAAAGATGTCGTAGAAGTTAGAATGAATATGCAACACCGTTGTTGGACATTGTTCTCTTCTATCTGCTTCATTTCCATTATCATCATTATATTAACAAAGAATCCCTCGTCACAAACTTGGCTGCAGAATCCGTCATTCACATTTAATATCACTCAAATCAACGAATGTCACCATGTTGTCAGGTCATTCTTTCGTTTCCTATGTGAAAAAAATCATTCGTTACGATCAGTCCAATTATCAACGGATTCGAATGATCACGTCTGTTATCAGCTTTATTCCAAGAATAAACATGCCGACTTATTTGCACGTGTCCAACTTCATTTCCAACCGTTCTCCAATCGAAAGATTCTTTTCAGCGATATCGAAAACTTGTCCAATTCATGTTTAAGCTGCCATCATATTCAAATCATTCAGAACAAACTGTATATTATCCCCAGGCCGAATGCTTTCAATTATCAAACTCGTAGTCGTAGTGTGAAACTACTAATCAAACAGATGATGGACACATTTCCCAACATTCCTGACCTCGACTTATTCTTTCATGTTGATGACGCAGTAGAATTACCAAATGGATTGAATGATGTGCGTTTCAATGTACCCATCTTTGCTTTTACAAAAACCAACAAAACAAAACGAGGCTTACGACCCGATGCCATAATTCCCATGCCGTGTTTCACATTATGGAGTTGGCCTGAAGTACGAGCAGGTCGATGGACGAAAGCATCGCAATCGATTTTAAATGCATCCCACAGCATAGAATATGAAAAGCGTGTGATAAAACTATTCTGGCGTGGGGTGCGGACTTGGAAGAGAACCTGGTTTCTTCGAACGGCAAAGCTATACCCAGATACGATGGACTTAGCTCCGGTGAGCTGGCAGAAAAGTACAGACGGTCTAGCCTACAAAGCTTCGTTTTCATATAGAACATTGGAAGACCATTGCAATTATAAATATCTAGTACATTTGGAAGGAAGTACGTATTCATCTCGACTGAAATACCTGCTGCTTTGTGGTTCGCCTGTCATTTTCAATCCTCTTCAAGCGTGGGAGGAATATTGGTATCATCTCTTGAAAGATCGAGAAAATATTATGCTATTCGAAGAAGCCGGAAATGAAGCAGCTTTCAATCGAACACTCGATTTCTTGATGCACAATGAGAAAAGAGCAAAAGAAATAGGTCGACGAGGTCAACAATTGGTATTAGATTATCTGAATGAACATGCAGTCAGCTGCTATTGGTGGAAACTAATGCATGAATATGCTAAGCTGCTAGGATATCAACCGATATTGCATCGAGACGCGATCTATATCGATGATTTTCTTCTCGGAGGTTTTTCTTAGTTGACATCATTATTTCAAAGTGTTTTCGTTCTTTTCTGTTTCCAAAAAAGGATGAAGCATAACACAAACATGTTTTTACTCGTTTTAAAAAGTTTTCCTGCTTCGAATTAACGCTTTCTTGATACGTCTGTGTTTTCTTAGATCATGTATGGTAGTCAACATCGTCTAACATTATTGCTTTGTGCACTACTTCTATTCCTTATACTTACTTTAATCAAACTGCCAAATCCGTCGAAGAAGCCAGCATTTAGCAACTGTCATTTTATATTTAAACCATTCTTCAACTATCTGTGCGATGGAAATTCGTTCGGACCATTTCAAGTGTCAAATGATTCACATAATCACGTCTGTTATCAGCTTTATTCCAAGAACAAACATGCCGACTTATTTGCACGTGTCCAACTTCACTTCCAACCGTTCTCCAATCGAAAGATTCTTTTCAGCGATATCGAAAACTTGTCGAATTCATGTTTGAGCTGCCATCATATTCAAATCATTCAGAACAAACTGTATATCATCCCTAGACCGAATGCTTTCAATTATCAAACTCGTAGTCGTAGTGTGAAACTACTAATCAAACAGATGATGGACACATTTCCCAACACTCCTGATCTTGATCTCTTCTTTAGCGTTCAAGATATGGTAGATCTACCGAATGGATTGAATGGCGTGCGTTTCAACGTACCAATATTCGCTTTCGCAAAAACTACTCGAACAAAAGTTGGCCTGCGATCAGATGCCGTAATCCCGATGCCATGTTTTACATTATGGAGCTGGCCTGAAACGCGTGCTGGTCGTTGGACAGACCGATCCCAGTCTATTGTCAGTGCAGCACAGAAGATAGGCTATAAAAACCGAATCCCCAAATTATTCTGGCGTGGAGTATGGAATTGGAAACGACTTTGGTACATTGATCTAGCGAAGGAAAATCCCGATATCATGGATATAAAGGACGTCAGTTGGAATGCGACTGCGAATGGTGTTGCTCATCGAGCGTCGAATGCATACGTGACGTTGGAAGGCCATTGTGATTACAAGTATTTAGCACATCTGGAAGGAAGTTCATATTCATCTCGATTGAAATATTTGCTGCTCTGTGGTTCGCCAGTCGTCTATAATCCTGTTCAATACTGGGAAGAACATTGGTATCATTTACTGAAAGATCGTGAAAATATTATTGTTTTTGAATCAGCTCGAAACGAAGCAGCGCTCAAGAAATTGCTTGATCATTTGTCGCATAACGAGAACAAAATGAAAAGAATAGGCCAAAAAGGACAACAGTTGGTATTAGAATATTTAAGTGAACATGCAGTCAGTTGTTATTGGTGGAAACTAATGCATGAATACGCTAAACTTTTAGGATATCAACCAACATTACATCCTGATGCTATCCATATCGATGATTTTCTCATTGGAACTTTATCTTGATTCATACGTTTGTTTATTATTGAGAAATAAATGCACTTTAGCTCGGATGAGATAGACATGAATATGTGAGAAAAGGATATCGCTTTAACACAAAGAAAAGGGAGAGAAGGCATGAATGATGCGGTCAAATACGATAAGGCAATAGCCATTTTTCTCTTACAACTTTCATTTTGTATACATGGGGAAGGATATTACGACAGAAATCAACTTTTTCAGTCATACGCCTGACGGTGGCGTTCTATGGTCAGAAATCACACACCCTCAAGATGTGCTTGTGCCAGTTTCAGTTGCCATTTATGATCTACGTGACAATGAAACCAGTGTCGATCTTGGCAAGAATAGTTTCGAAGTAGGCAAATACCAGGGACAAACATCTTGTGATTTCGATAGTCAGGACAATGTTCAAGCTTACTATGATGAAATCAACAACATCCTCAAAAAGCGTTTGGATGCATCTCGTGTCATTGTCTTCAATCACATCATGCGTATCCGAGGAAATCTACGTTCTGGCGAGGAAGAAGCTGAACTAGTGTTACAAAAACGTTTCCAAATTATTAATGTCTGGCGACCCATTGGTTCAAACGCCATCATCAACAATCTTCTGACTATTTGTGATTATCAGATATTTGATCTTAACAATGATCTACACCATGCGGATGTTCGTCGATCGATGGTTACGAAGTCATCTTATCTTGTTTCGTATAATCCTCGAAATGCTCAAAAATGATGTTATTTTAGTGAAATGAGGTCGGATGAAATATTGGTCTTTAAAAACTTCGATAGCAAACCAGGTGTAGCTCAATTTTGTGCCCATACAGCGTTTATTTACAAAATGATAGTATTATGAACAATTGCTAAACAGAACAAGATCGAGATAATCTTTTTTTTACTGACAATAGTATAAGTGTGAACGACTCGTTAACCTTCTTGGTAGGACTATAAAAAACAGTTAAATACAAATGAACTCGACGGAGGCAATCGTTAATGTTCGCACTGACAGCACCGGTGTTATTCCTACTCTTAAAGTCATACCTGCAAGTATTACATTCTTATCGATTATAGGTAATACTGATTGTGTTGTCAATCTGTTTATTTTATCGGTTCGAAACATTTCGTCATTGATTTATTTAGTCTTTAGTCTGTTTTGATTCTCAATTACGATTCTTTTTATTAATTAGAATATAATTAAACAAGGAAAAGCTTATCGTATTTAGGTGGAAATGGATCTTCATCCACTTTTTTCTGCTTCTGATGACCTACAGCAAAAGGAAGTCGCACACAGACATTTGTAAATAGGCCAGTACAGTGAGCTTCAAGGCAAAGCTCATAACGTATGACTAACGGTTTTCTAGATGACCATTGCGAAGGTATACCTGTATATGAAGAAACGATTCGTTCAGGTATTTGAATTTGGAATTCATTCTGCCATTTATCACCTTGAAAATTATCAATACCATTCAAGTCTTTTTTGATAACAGTTACTTCATCTTCTCCTGCGGCTCCTAGATTTTGATACTGAATGAGAGTCATTGACAGTCGAGTAATTGTTACTCGATTGGGATTGTTTATATTGACGGTTAATGGACATTTTTCACCGGGAGTGACAAAGTCTTCATGGAGGGTTGCTTGTAAATCGATATTTTTGCTGTTTTGGCTTTCATTACGAATTTCATTTGATAACATTGGCGATGAATGATATTGCACAAGTATAAATGACGCTTTCTGAATGCGTCTCTTAAGCCAATCAGATGGAACAAAATGTACACGAACAACATATCGAATAGAAGGACCTTTGATACGTGATTGTGCCAATGTTGATGGCAGATTATCCGGAAGACAGAAGGAAAATGGCCATATGTGCTCACCTTGTTCGAGAAGAAAGCTGCTTTGAGCATCACCAGATCGTAGAATGTGTTGTTCGTTAAAAAACGGACGAACATGAATATCTGACGATTTCGCTAAATTAGGCCCACGGAGAGTATAATAAACTATTTCGCCAGCTATTTCAATCATGATATTCTTCAGTTTTAACTCGATTTGTCCATCATTTTGAAATTTAACTTTGCCTGATACCGTTTCACTTGTTTTGTAAATCGTACTATATTTTTTGTCGAATTGAAAAGTAACATTGTCCTGTAATGTAGTAACTCCGCTACCCATGATGAGAAACTAATCTGATTGCATACATGAATATCGTGTAGATGAATATATAAATGTCTGATAAACAAAAAACAAAACTCATAGCAACAACGATTCTGTTTTTGTTTTATCTTTCTTTACCTCTCATATTGTGTCATGTTTATGACGTTATCTGAAGATATGACGTCATATTGTATAACTGGATGGGTGGTGCTGTGATCTCAACGTATTTCATTCAAAATTGATTTTCCGCAGCTGTTAGTGATTCTTTTGGGAATTGTTCAATCAAACGTCACAACATCGAATCCGTTCTCATAAATCAGTAATGGTGAAACAAAAGGTACTGAAATTCGATAGACTCAAGACATAGTTGTATTAATGAACCAGAAGTCACATGCAGTTGAAGCATTTTATTGAAAGAAAGTTTTACAAATATATTCGAGACAATGTTCGTGCTATTTCATATGAGATTGATATTCTTATCAGATGTCGCATTTACAAGTTGGGAAGAATAACAGAACTGTTTTACAATAGCCAGTTGTATAACCACATATTTTACATCGTTCAATACAACCAGCTACTCCTTGAGTAGCACATGTGCCTGATGGCGGTCCACAAATATCAGCAGATACCATGCTCACTAAAAGAATAAGCAAAATGTGGTTTATTCAGTCGCTCTCAAGTATGTCTCGGTTGATTGTACATACCAATGACCAGAATAACGATAAATAAGCCAACGACGTTCAATCGCATCATGATAATACGTTTTATTGTAGATTTGGGTTTTTCATCTTGTCTCATTCGCTTTTATAGTGAGAGTATTTCGCAGCATATTGGTATATGTTACTCATTTCATACATAATTACGTCAACGCCTTGACACATACTTTCGAATATACGCAGAATAGATCTTCTATGAGTCGATATCAGGCTTTCTCATCATTCAGAAGTATATACTATTAACCTGTGTTACAAATGAGTAATTGTATATATTCGTTATATTCCTTTTATTACGTTATGGGTTACAAAAATAGTAGCAATTTTTCTTTCTGTATCATTTTCGATATTTTTCTTATTAATACAAATACGACGTTTGCAATTGAGAACGATAAGATCGATACGTTAGGTAAGGACAATTTACATAAAATCTAGTAACAGAGTTGGTATAGTAAAGAAGTCTAGCTCCAGTGCTAGCGCAATAATAAATGACATATTCAAGTAATTAGAGTTCGATGTTGGTGATTGGACTAGTCAAGAAATACATCGAACAAGAATTGGCTCGCAAATTAGTACGAGTAAAAAGAACTATGTTAAGTACATTTCCGAGTGTTCTAAAAGCCAAATGAATCGGCGGAATGATTTGATATATCCGGAGTGCAGCAAAATAGACACAGGGATCCAGATTATACGTTGAGATTGACATGTTGAAGAATGAAAATAATTATCACAAGTAGCGGTCGTATGTCGACCTTATTTGAAAAACAACTATTGAAATATTGGGTTGAGATAATAGTTCTCATTTTCTTACCGGAAAAGCAAGGAATTTCTATTCAAGTTTAATTGTCTTGAATGTAGAAAAACATGTTGCGCTAGAATTTGCGTAGATCTTAAAATCACGAATTTCATTACTACAAACACAACGAAGCATTCGTTAGAATGAAGGCATCCATCACAAAAATATAGAATACATCCAAGAAAGTTAAAGATCATGAAATATATCTGTATCCGTTATACGATTCGAAATCAGAAGTTTTGTAATCGTATTAAGACTGAATAAATTCAACAATCAATGATGTCATAACGTTAGTATTTAAATTTGCCTCTTTTGAAAAATTTCTGTATTAATATATCATGTACCGAGATAAATTGCACTCGAAGAACGAGGGCTCAAGTGACTATTCTATACTTTTACTCTCACTATTTACATATTTCAATGCTAATTACACGACTGCCTATGCCTGCCATGATTCAATTCTATATAGCGGTGAATGTGTTTAATCCTGTGTGTATAATTAAGATTGCACGTGAGAATAGTGTTTTTTCAGAGTGTGACAACAGAATAATTCATTGCAGAATACGAAGAAACACAGAAAGTTTATTAAGTCATAGATATTGGCGGTACAGTACGTTACGACATCGTTGTACAAAGCATCTGAAAATATTCGAATTTAGATTTACAAATAACTAATATAGTCTTGTAACGTTAATAGACCGTTGTTTTTCGTATACCTGATAAGATGTTCACTGTTCGTGTTTGTTGTGTAGGATTGTTCTCTTTTTCTTCTCTACTTTTCACTGTAATATTAACCACAACCAGTGGATTATTGTTTAATGGTACTGGCCGTGGTCTCAACGGGTCGAATTCAACCAAACCCAGTTTCGTTAACATAGCATGATATCCTCGACGAACACAGCGTTGCATTTCCGCACGGAACTTAGGACTTGTCAGTGTGTAAATGTAAAACCCGGTAATAGAATTCGTATAGAACAAAAACATGGCCAAGGTCTCGGCACAGTGAAAAATGATTTGGCCCAATAGCGAAAGTGTGTTGTCGAGTATGACCAAGTCGAATGCATAGTACAGACTAGTGCTTACATAAGGAAGTGAAAGGAGAATGGTAACAAGTATTTGAAACAAAAGCATAGTACCCATTTGGCGATCCTCGGAACGTAAACGTTCGTTTCGTGCGGCTCCGGTCTGTTGAAAAACACGATTACGAGTACTACGAACATTGTGTACAATTAAAATAGCAAAGATACACATGAGTACAATGGGTAAAAGACAAGCAACAATAGGCCCGAAAAAAGTAAAGAAAAGAAAGTATTGATAAGAACTAATTCCACAACCAAAGGCACCGTTATCCCAAGCTGACTCATAGAATATTGGCATATGCGCATGAATCAAAAGAAAAACTATATAAATCCCTATGNTCGTAGTAGTGACTGTGGATAGGTATTGAGGTGGTGTGTGAGAAATAAAGTAATGTGTTAGGAATGGAGGATGGAATTGATAGGGAACTGTGTAGGAAATGAGGGTGAGTTCCCAGTTCTGTAAGGAAATGATTAGTTTTTGCTGTATTTTTTAGGAACTCTAGGAATTCCTAAAGTACGGTACCTTGGACACCCCTCGACTAAAATGGATCTAATGAGAACGTTACCTCTGACTCCGTTTAAATGTATGTCAATGTACTCTGTAAAGGGTCTTATCTGACAATAAGACGAATTCAAGATATAAAGGATGAGCAACATGATTCTATAATCAGATGATGGACTACTCTTTTTGAGTAATCAATCGCGCCACATTCGACATGAAGAGCGATATTATAAACACGATCTATACTTGTATCGTTCTCTTCTTTGTCAAGTTTGACTGTGAGTATGTATATCAAACGAAAAATGTGTTTCTTTGTGCATCAATGCATACCCATTCATCAATACTATATAAATAGTATACATCTGTAATGACAACGCCTCTTCTGCTCACCATACGTTTTTCGTGTTGCTTGCCGGTCAAGTTGTCTTATTGATCGTTTATTTTCAAATCAAATATTTCACTCTCCATGGTCCTCTACCTGGTTTAGCACCACATTTTCTCTTTGCAAATGTGATTTAATCGGATTTGTTAACGCAAAGCAAATCTCCAGCGGAGATTTTTCTGGCATTTAAACACCGCTACGGTTATATCTTTCAATTTTGGTTTGGCCCAACCCGTTACATTATTGTCAGCAATGCCATCGAAATATATACGTCCAAGCCGATGTTTACACTAAACAACTAGCCAATCTTATACCAAACGGACTTCATTCCTCTCAAAGGTATGCTTGTTTACATTCCTATTGACAAAAAGTAGCAAAAAAATGCTTTATTTTTATCTACTCATATGGCCCAAATATAAATGGTATGCAGCACTGGCAATGCCTTTGTTTCGTCGTGCTAGTATTATCAATAATACTTATTTTGATTAAATCGTATACTGTACCGACAAACTAATATTCAACTGGTATACCAGTCCCAGCCAACAATGTCAGAATCTTCTACTTCAAACAATCCTTGAGAAAATGAACTTGCTATGGCATTGCACGATTTTAATTATAAGTGTGTGCAAATTGATAATCTACTCGTCATCGGCGAGGAAAGGCAATTATTACTGAATATGTGTATCGAATGATCGATCAGGAGGCGGCTGAAACAATGGAGTCGAGAGCACAACGGTAACGAAGAATCGGAAGAAAAAAAGACGAAGATGAAAAACGCGCTGAAAATTCCTTTTCAAATTAGTAATTCAACAGATCTAATTGATGTTTTTTTTCGCAGGTTCTTCAAAAGATGAAGTTCTGCATAAGATGCTAGCTTTTATGCTATAGCTGGTTACGAAACGACATCGACATCGACAGCGCTCGCTTGGTTTATTCGTCATCTGAGTAAATATCCATATGTACAAGAAAAGATCAAAGAAGAATTGCAAAGTACTGATGAGAATGGCATTCTAGATTTAACATTCAACATCTCGATTCTTTAACTTATTTGGATTGTGTCATCAATGAAGTACTTTGCTACTCATCACCAGCCGATGGAACTGTTCGTACGGTGCTCGTTACTGGTCCTACGATCCGACACTATTTCATCCGCAAAAGATTCTTACATGAAGATAAAACTCATCATCTATATGTATTACTTCCATTTGGTGTTGGTCGTTTGACACGTCTTACGACTATACATAAGCGCGTCGGTGTTCGTATTGAAGTTGCTTGAAATGTGATTATTTAACAGTCTGTTTGTGAACATTGACTTGTCTGACAGTTTGTTGCATAGTTAATGTTCCTGTTCTACCTGTAGCTGAGGCATTGAACGGTCGTACGACTGTTGATCGGCAACAAAATCGTCTCATAATTTGTCGAATTTCTCGATCTAAGAAAATCGTACATATCTTTTCGACAATCAGCATAAACGACGGAGAAACCATACTAATATAGTAGATAAGATCAACCGATGTTACCATGTAGAAAATTGTTGGTAGACCGCCAGCTAGATAAAGTCCGAGAAGTATAAGAATATAACGAAGAAGTTCAAGGTCGCGTTTTTGACTATTTTCCGAATTGGCAATACTTTGGTTGTTCTTTGTCGTTCGACGAACACGAACATAAATACAAATATAGATCAAAATGATTACAATGACTGGTAATAAATAATAGGCAAAAGCTGTATAACCAGTGTGTATTCGATTTCGTAAGGGTACCCAGCATATAGACCCAAATGTAAAAGTAACATCATTTGTAATAATTGCTGGTGATGTAAGTAAGAAAACAGTAATCCAATTGATAGCAATAAGAATGAAATGCGTTTTGAATGTTGTTAACCATCGGTATTTCATCGACAAAACAGAAAAGAAGAATCGCGAGATAGCTTGAGTCAGATATGAATAAATCACGCCAGCGATACCACTATATCCGAAATAAGCTTGCAGCCGACAAGAAGTCATAGTCATTCCCCATTGTCCGAATATTAAATATGCGAAATTATTGATGACCGTGGCGCCATATAACATCGATGCTATGCATGTATTACACACTAATAAATGATTGACTGTGTGCAAACGTGATTTGTTGCTCCAGACTAATACTATTACGAAGATACTAATACTTGTGGTAATAGTCACAAATATTGCTGCTAATAATCCCATGAGGCCATATTCGTCAATGAGATTGGTTTTGGATTGAGCGATTGATGTATTCATGTTTTAGAAGAAAATGTCCTGAGAATAAGCGGATGGATGCATTAGATGTAAAAAATTTGAGCTTTATATATTATTAATGGGATAATGAATGCAACAGTGTTTGACAATTTGTTGTCTGTTCAATTATTCCGTGTACATTATTGTTTATTGCGCTAATCATATATTTGTCTGATGCGAAATGAACATAACAGGCCTTTTTCTGTTTAAATTCACATTGAAAATAATTCATGTATGTATTCATGCAATCTTGTCGGAAGATTCAAAATTTCAAGCTTCTCAAAGAGAAACCGGATGTAAATTACTTGTTTTATCAAACATCCGTTAATTGATGAGACACTAATCCTCAAGCAATGGGAAAATCCTTTGAAAAAAAAATGTAATCTTTAAGCTGCCTGTATATATTTTATTATATTGTATGATACTGTGTCAAGAGAAAAATGAAAATGACATACATACACATATCTGGCTATTGGGATTCTATTTAGCTACACTTTATTGACTGAAAGTAGATTGTTCGATGCTTCCGATAGTGGTTACGCCACATTGAGTAGATACTGACCAACAAGATCAAGTAAGTCATCGATTTGATCCAGTAGAGATACAGTCGGCATTCGGCCTGAAAACGTATGAAATCTATCAAGATGATCCACCAGTTGGTAACACTGGTCTGGTATCGCCAGGAATCTTGCGTATACCTCTATTAGTACCTTCGAACTTTCTCAACGGAGATCCAACTGTTGCTCGTTAAGCTTTTCGGGACTTTGAAGTCTATAGTCAAGATTGCTTAGATTTCGTCATTGAATCAATGAATATGTATACATCATTTGGTTTTGGCATTGGCTCGTTATGATTACGACGTGTCACTGTCGATGATTGTCATATTTTAACAAAAGATCGACACTGAATATGGATCATATACATTGATCGATAGTCGTGAACATATCAGTTTAGTGAACAGTGCGTGTCAGTTAGCAGCTGATGATGGTTTGAATGTTCATGGCACATATTTTCTTGTTTCAAAAGTGATTGATCCAACTACAATCATTCCTCAAACGAAAGTCGGCGACGTTGGGCAACTTGATGTAGAAACAGAAACACGTTTACAATTCAGTACGAGCCATAACAGCCATTTACTATCAATGGCATCGCCACTCTGGGTACTTTATTAGTTTATTCGTCAAATGAGGGAATATTTACATTCAACCATCTTTACTCTAGTATGAAGGTCCAATCGTTTACAATATTACATTAACAGAAAACGTTTACATCAATTGTAACGAAGGAAATGGTCAATTGTCTTTCATTAATGTAATCGATAGTCGGACTATTCTGTATGCTGGTAATATCGATCAACTACTTTTTATGAATAACTATATTGCAAAAAATGTTCCAATATCTCTCATTTCAATCTGCAATAGTCGTAGTTTAACAGCAATGAATAATACAAGAAAAACTAATTAGTCAGTACTATACATTCGATAGAACATATCCGCATTCCGAAGCTTCAAGCAGTTTGATCGATTTACCTGCAGCAGCTTTCAATTCATTATTTCATCCACATATTCGATTTCAATAACTTTGAATGACACACGAGGTTTATTATTTTGCTGAGATAGTATTTCTCTTTCATTGAATAAATAAAAAAAAGATGTGTTACTATTCTTGCTCCAGTACAGCCATAATTTTTGGCGCAACATCCATAAGAGCTGCATTCCAACATGGCCATTCATGTTTACCGTGACAGCCGTGTCCAATTGACTTCCCATTGCCGTAAAAATCATAGTAGTGCGGTATATTTAACGAATTTAACGTTCTGTTCATATGATTATTACAATCGTGCATGGCAAGCTCGACAATGCCTTGATTACCGGAATAGAGTGCGATGTTGACGTCGCGCAACAATTTAGCATGAGTAATAGGATTCTCAATGACCCATCCGCTCGAGGGTGTTGTAAGAAATGGAACACCAAATGGACCATCTACTGCTTTTTTGTCTGCTGCTTCTGAGCCAAAAATAACTGTTTGAACACCCCAATTGAGCAAATCAATCGCCCCCGAAAAACTTGCCGTGTAATTGTATAGTTGGTGATAGACTTCAGCATAACGAACAGCACCAAATCCACCCATAGAAAGACCAGCAATAGCGCGGCCTCCTTTTCGTGCAACTGTTCGTAAATTTGCATCGATCCAAGGTACCACCTGTTCATTATGAAATGTCCGCCAATTTTGTGGAGCCGCTTTCCCTGGATTAATCCAATTCGTGTACCATCCAAATGGATCACCATTTGGCATGATGGTAATCAATGATAAGTTGCCGAGAATTTGTTGTGCTATGCCACCCTTTTGAGTCCAGTCTTCAGCACCACCCATACCTCCATGGAGTAAATAGAGAACAGGATAGCGGCGTGTTTTACCACTAGTTGTATAATTTTGAGGAAGAAGTATTCGAATCTGTTGGTCACCTTTAACTTCTTGCGATTGTACAGTTACATCACAAAGTTGTTCATTTACTTTTGAAAAGTTCGTTACTGTTAAACCGAAGCCGGACACAAAGTCAGGGAAATCACTGTGAACAGGTGGTAACAAGCAATAGACAACAAAAATAAATTGGCAGTATTTCATCATTAAGTCCTTTTCTATACTTTTTTTCTCCATGAGGGTGAGGTTCGTATTTATAACCAAAGATAATTTGAAATATGTAAAGTTTCTCATCAGTGTCCCTTGTAGGGAAAATACGCATATGTTTTTCGATTATTTATAGCGAAAGGAGTACGTGCAGCGATAGTTTGAAATCGGCACACATACTTCAGAAGAATGAAAGGATTGACATTATTATTGCTCCACATACTCGTAGCGCCGGCTTCCCACTCTGTGCTATCATATGAGTCATACTGACTTACAAGTAACACGATTATGAAAACTAAACAATGTGTGTCATAGAATATGTATTTGAAATAAACGAAATGTTCGTTGAGAAAGTGTCAACCATCAAATCAGTAATGATCTCAAAACATCAAAATGAAATAAATTTGGAAGTATTACCAGATGAATTGTTTCTCGATTTGTTCGAGTATTTCAGCCCGATCGATCTATTTCGTGCATTCGAACATGTCAATTAACGTTTTACCAATCTTCTCGTCACATATTATCAAGCATTCATTCATTTTAACAGTCAAATGATGTCGCCGGTTGAGTTCACCAGATTTTATTACGATCATCTTCAATTCGCTACCAATTGATTGATATCATTACATATTTCTCAAGATGACTACACATCGAACATGATCGATCTCCTCGTATCTAGTGCTGTAGTTTCAAAAAACTTTGCTAGATTACGAGCATTCTCAATTCATCCCTCGAATCGAATTCCAATCAATGAAATTCTTTTTGAATGTCTTCATCTTCCGCGTTTTACTCATCTCAAGCTGCTGGTTGACCATCAAATATTCCCTGAAACATGCAATCATATTTGAAGTTTAACCGAACTTACTCATTGCCATATCTCGAAATGTTTCCTTCTAATTACGACATACGCCTACAACGTATTGTTGATCCTACACCAGATCTTCGGTATCTTCATCTGTCTAGTCATCGTTCACTGGATGTCGGACAACCAATACCTAGATCGCTTCTGAGAAGACTGAAGTTGAAGTTTGACAATGTACATAATCGAATATTCGGTGTTTTTTTCAAAATATGCCTCAATTGATTTATTTCGCACGCCCTTTTGGTTCGATATACATCAATGGTTTGTCCAATATCATTGGACTCCCGCGGATTTGGTGTACCTTTACACCTTACTGCATACATTTCCATATCGAAAACATGCATACCAAATTCACATGTACATATTCTGATCGATACTGTTCGTTCGGACGCTGTATTACGAATATTCCGTCTCTAATAATATCATATTACCAAATTTTTATTTTCACAAGATAGAAACTCTGAAATTAAAACTTTCAATTGACCTGCAATTCTTTTACATTGTTCGAACACTGGATCGATTAACTCAACTTACAATATCAGTCATCAGCAAATACGACCCGTCTCTCTGTTAGATAATCTTCGATAAATGGTTATCGAATCGACAAATGCCGTTAGTTAATAATACACATTCATCCGTTTGTGAACTGGACTCACGAATCACTGAATACAATAATGGAGTTTGGTATTTCACTCCTTTTGAATATTCGGCATTGATTCGCTCAAACATAGGTCGTCAATGTGAAAAACTTTCAATCAACGTCGAAAAACTAATAAACGTATATAGTTCAATTAGTTGATTCGTTGCACAATCTTCGAAAACTAACTGTGGGTTTCCAACATCATACTGACGAGAAATTAGTATGGCCAACAATGAACGAATTCCTTATTTGGTTCGAAAGACGCTCTCCACTTACGTATACTGTTGAACACTCGGACAATATTTTAATTATTCGTAGAAGAACTTAAACATTTTATCAATTCTGTATCTGTCGTCATAAAATGTTGAACAACGAGAAGAACCGGCAAATTTTATGGATCACAACTCTCGATGCTTATATGTTGGAATTTTTTAGAATATTTTTTATTGATACATATCATCTGACAATGACTGATTCTATTGTTTTTTTGTCAAATTCATGTTTGTGAAGTAGTAGCCACTAAATATCCTTGCTCACATAACCGTACAGCATTTTGAATAATGTGCACATCCAACACCACAGCAGCCACAGGTATTCAATGGATAGTCGTTTTCATAAACCAACGGTTCGTTTTCTTTTCCTACACCATAGTGATAAAAATGAAATTTATTACCTAAAAATTAAGAAGAAATATTGTAGAAGAAAAGCAAATGAGAAGTCTTCTTCTATTTGATCGTGCTCACCCATATTTTCGTCTCTCTTGTTGGTGAACCCTTCAATTTCGTATTCAACTTCGGTTATATCCAGTTTTTGTATTTCACATTTTAGTCCAATC